GAATACTGTGTCGGGCCAGCGGAGACATACAAGTACATGTCCGCACCGCTCACACCCTCTGTGTGGTGGGAGCTGGGTATTTTAAACTGCGCGCATATACCTGACGAGTACCTTGGTACAATAACCCTGCCCGTGAGAGGCTTAACAAGTAGACGATCCGTGTGCATTCCGAACGCTCGGGGAAGAAGGGAGTTTAATATGATGGATCTTTTTTCCTTCGTCAAAATATCCCTTTTATTACACTCAAGAGTTCCCCCAATAAAGTCTGGACGAAACTGCTTCTCAGCGGTGCAGTGTTTTGAGGGATCGTTCAGATCCTCCGTGAAGACTTGAAAGCGGATGGGCGCCCATTCGGGAGCCGAGGCAGTCAGCGCCCGCATCATGCCACTTTCCCGAGTTGGCAGCTCTAGCACCACTGCTGTCGTCCGGGGGCCAACCTTGTTTTCAATTTCTTCGGAGATGCAGTGATGCTCAGCGACGGCAACAGAACCAGAGACGCAGCAGAGCAGCAGCACCTGGAATAGCAGAGTGTGACGCATCCTTGTGTGTGTTTTTTCTTTTGGGTCTTTCACAGTGCACTTTAGCTGTTTGTATGCTTGTCAATTGGCTTACCTTGAGAGAAGAAATGAATGGATTGAGTAACTGGTGCAGTCTCAATAAAATACGGCATCAGTGAGTTATGGTAACTGCTGAAATACACATTGAATACAATATTACGAAATTATCTCGGCTTTTTCCCACAATAAATAGGGTTACCTTCGTGAGCGCCCATCCATTTGTTTCACTGCTGTTGATCGGGAATTTCACTCCAATCCATTGATGGCATTCCACCTCTTCACTTTTTTCCCGTTCTTGACGGTTTCTTCTGTTTTTCCCCTAATCTTACCAACATGTCTAGCCACACGATGCCGTCTGGGTGATGAAGAGGTGGTCGAGCAGCGACAAGAGTTTCCTGCTATGAGGCAACTGCCATTGAGAGAAATTTTCGGTGCGGAGGTCCTGCTCAATGCCCAGCCTTTGGCGCACAGGCAAGGTGCCTGGAAATTCTGGAAGCAGATGGTGCAAGTTTTTACGCGGGCAATTCGCGTGCTTGTGGAGCTGGCTGATCCTGCGGCAGCAGGGATCGCCTCCTGGCACTGCTGCTGTGTCGGTTGGCGTCAGGGTTGTGTGCGCAACGCGTTCTGTGCTGTGCGGTACTTTTCCGTGTGGGGAGGACCTTGTCGCAGCAATCGCATTTGAGCTTGGGAAGCGGTGGGCGGTGTTCCGGATGAAAGCACCGACGGTGACCGATGGGGTTCGTGTGTCCCACCGGTCTGGTGTCACAGTGCGGGCATTTCTACTCCCGACGCCGTGTGGACGTTCCTCTCTCCACACGAGGTGCGTCGGCCCCTTGTCGTCGGGGGAACGGCGTCCGTCCCCGGTGCAGTTGGATCGTCGTTGGAGCGCATATATGCAGACTGTTCCGGTGAGATGTTGCAGAGACGGCGTTGGTTCGTGCGGTCTCTCACAGCCCAGTATAATCGGCCTCAGAGCTCAGTTTCCCCGCATCCTGCTCGCGCGAGTTGTATCCGTTCATGTCGTTCGAGAGCTTCCTGAGTGATCAGGTCCTTGCCGCCTGGATCTGAGGGCCTGGCGCCGCAGAGCGAGTAGCGGTGTGTGCCCCGACGGATGGTACTACGCCGCGTATTGGTGAGCTGGGTATCAAAGCATGTCAGCAGGGCCGTATGCCACATGGGTGCAATTCCATTTTCCGTGTGTTGCCCGGCTGCCATGGTTTGCGTCGCATGCTGACCTGCAAACTCGTTAAATCGTGCTCCACAATGTCCGTAACAAAACTGCAGGTGCACGGACCAGCCAGCACACGTCAGTGTCAAGACGCGCTGCCAGATCCGGTCCTCCGTCCAGTCGGTCTGACTGAGCGGGCCCTTGTTGAGAGCCGCTAGAAGGGACTGGCTTTGTGTCACCACATGCAGGGTTTTCTGCCCGTGACGGATACGAGAGATAATCAGCCTTTACAGGGCCAGAAGCAGCGCACCGGACTCCGTCCTGGAGCTGCATGGGCGTGTGTCGCGGTTGATAGTTGCTTTCTCCATTACCTCCAACAAACGCAGGAATGAGAGCAGTATCCCAACCCTGGCTGACGTGGGAACATCAACACCGCCACCCGCCGCTAGTATCCACGATCGGTGGCTGTGCGGCGCTAGAGCCTGTTCGCTGACTCCGCGCGTGTCCATTGTCAGCTTCTCTTCGTCGGTAATTGAGTGGTCCATCGGAAGTTCCACGCCAATGGTGACCCAGCGAGCGGACGCCGCAGAACAGGGAGCAATGGAGCTGCGAAAGAGCCGCTCTTCGCGTGGTGAGTTCTCGGTGATGCCGTGGTCCTTTGTGCACTTATCCACAAGGGCGTGCAGCTCGTCCCGAGATAACGGCAAGATGCGGAAACCGGCGTGGGGCGAATGCTCAGGCGGGGATTTCCGCATCCAGTCCATCTGACACGCTCGTGTTTCCTCAAACATGGAGAGCCGCGCGCACAGGCAAAGGACGTGGAACGGGGGCGTATTCGCCTCCAGCGGAGCGGATTCCGGGCCAGTGGTGCACGCAACTCCGCTCACAATGCGTGCCAGAGTTGCGTACGTCTTTTGCGTCTAATTCCTCGCAGCATCCGTCGCCACCGCCCATATGAGTTCACTGCCATATAGTAAGTTGGAGGCTCCGTATCCGATGACGAGCGTGCGTGGGTCATGCGGAGATGGCCCCGCCTCTTTATGCGCAACTCAGCGCAGCTGGGATTTCCGTTGCGAGGCGGCCGCACATTGCTTGGTTGCCGCCAAGTCAAGCGTCATTCGCGGAACGAGACCAATGCCAAGAAGCTTCGTGGTTCGCGATGCCCCCATGGTCATGACTGGAATTGTGCAACCAAATAATACCAGAGGCCGCTTTCCTTCGCGATCATGATCTGACTCCGTGTGCGTGGAGAGCGTGAGGCAAGCAGCTTCGCACCTCGACGGGCTAATGGCCAGGCCATTTTCCTGACTCCAAGCATGCAGCTTTTTAGGAACCATTTTGGCAGTGGGAATGGCGTCTTCCCAAGACCGACCCTTAATGACGATGAAGAGGCCATCCGCATACATGTCTGCTGTGACGCCTGAGAAGCCGTTCAGCAGCGTGATGAGTGGGTGTACGTAAAGGAAGAACAGACATGTTCCCAGCACAACCCCCTGAGGAACTCCTCGCAGCATGGGACGCCGATCACTGTGTCTGTTCCCCACTCGCGTCATCGCGTAGCGGCCACGCAAAAGGTTTCGAGGCCACCTCCGGCAATGCACCCCCGGAATATTGGCGAGCAGGCGACTGAGTACTCGAAGACCAATGGAGTCAAGGGCCTTGCTGAAGTCAACCAGCACCAGCAGAGTCCGATGGGGTCTGTGGTGGAGTTGAGTGCCAACACACCGCTCTCCTTGGAAAGGTTCACTTGGAATTAATCGCCTCGGT